TCAAAAAGCCTAGTTTTTAATTCAATTATTGTGAGGAGCGGTTGTATAAAGTGTAGAAAACTCGTAAGTTTAAATGTTACCACCTGTTGATTTTTTTATGTTAACTTTTCTAAAAGTTCCCTGGAGTTTTTGAGATTCCACATTTGATTTACACCCTTCTAGAATATGCTGAAGTACTTTTTGTATAAAATTTCTCCTTTACAGCAGTTAATATTTTTGTGAGGAGTAAGATTAGAGGCTTAGTAGAGCACTTGATGGATCCAGCAATGTATCTTTGTTTGTAGGGATTTATATGAAGTTTTCGGAATCCAGCATAGGTAGGGTAGATCGAACTCATCTTGACTGGAATGTTAAAAGTATTAAAGAATGAAATGTAATATTTAAGAATTTCATCCTTAGAAAGTAAACTATGAGTATAAGTATGATTTCCAGATGTAGAATTTAAACAACGTTCTTCTAAAATACAGTTATATAAGTTCTTCTAAAATACAGTTATACAATAATGAGCCTAAACCTGTTACAAGCCGTGTCTTCTAGAACACATTGTTCATGCAAAATTTCTAATTCTTATATCACCTTCGACTTAGTGAAAACAGAGGGGGTGATAAATGGTTCGCATATTGCCTTTTTAACTTTCTAACATTTAAAAAAAATATTTGTAAACAATTAAAATATATTTCAAAACACTTAATCCATTATGACAGTGTTCATTTCAGAAAAAAATACATAAACTGCTTACAGGGGTAATGTATTTTTTTCTGAAAAGTCGTAATCGTTATATCTGTATTAACAAACAAAATAAGAAATTTATTATGAACATAAATAGAAACAAGAGGACCATGGGCAACAGCGCTCAAATTAGTCACTATAGCCCTATTGTTCTCCCTCAGCCTATTCCCCCTATATATTCCTATGTAAAACTTTGTAGCCCCACCCTACCCCAGAGGTCATGATTTAACCAAATATGAATATAAACTACCTGAGGATGCTTCTATACAAATATCACTAATAATGGTTTTGCTGTTCATGAGAGAAAATCAAACTTTTACGTACGAATATTTTTTTCCAATTTATTTCTATGTAAAAGTTTGATTGCCCATTAAGGTCTCACCCTACACCCCCCTTTTGGGGTCATGATTTGAACTTTAATCTACGCTATCTGAGAATGCTAAATAGAAATATGACCATCATGACTTTACTGTTATTCTTCAGACGATTTTTTTCTATGTATTTCTATGTAATAGTTTGATTGCCCATTGTGGCCCCACCCTACCCTCCGGGTGTGGTGATTTGAACAAACTTGAATTTACACGATAGTGAAGCTTCCACATAAGTTTCATCTTTTCTGGCCCAATGGTTCTTGAGAGGAAGATGGCATTAAATTTTCAATCATTCTTAATAAACTCCCGTTAAAAGAAGACGTGGCCCTATATTTTAACAAATTACTTGAATTCCATTCATCCAAGAATGTTTTGTGGCAAGTTTAGTTTAAATTGGTCTGGTGGTTCTTGAGAAAAAAGCTGGACAATGTGAAAGAAATTACAGACGTTACTTTTAAAATATTTAATCTGGATGTTGATGAATTTGAAACAAGGACGTATTGTTGTGGATGATGTAAATATATGGTATTGGATAAATTAAGTGTCATGAAAAAGGTGAAGTTAACGAACTTTGATCGATCTAAAAAATAATCTACACACAATACAAATCTATAAATGCAAGATAAAATATATAAAATACAGACCAGAGGTAGGATCAGGTGCATAGGAGGAGTAAGCATCCCCTGATAACCGGTTTCACCAGCCGTGAGTATCGATCAGGTAGAATATTTCCTAGTCAATTTGAGTTTAAATACGATTGTCTAACAATTGGTATGAACACTCAACCAAAATACGACTCAATGACGCCAACTTTAAAATAATGTTTGTTTGTTTGTCCATTCCCAACTCAGGATGAAAAAATTGAGTCGGTAGGTAGGTTGGAAATATTTTCCAGAATGCATTGAAAAAATATCTGTTTCATGGTGGTTTAAAAAGGTTCGAGTCGGGACATTTTTAGCCAGTTGGTCGGGAGAGGGTAACAAAACATTTCTTAAAGATGGCCTGATTGGTTATACATATTGTATTTGCCAATGAGGTCATTAAAACGACCACAAAATAAAATTCTATTTCAGTCATGCTATTTCTAATAATACGGAAATATTATATGGCCATCATAGTTCTATTTCAGTTTCATCAATATCCAGGGTATGTCTATTTAATCCGATTTCAGTGAAGCATAATAGGTTTTGCATATTCTATGTGGCCAGGGTAACTTCACTTGTATTGATTAACTTCTGTTTGATAACTATCATCGCTGTAATATAAAATCAATCAACAGAAATGGTGTTGCTATAAGGTTTTTATGGTTAAGTTGCAGTTAAGTTTAGCCTTAAGAGAATTTATGCAATGACCCAAATTACTATTAAATTCTTATTCTAACAATTATTTTTAAAACAATATCTTCTCACATTTTTATCCCCTAGAAAAAACTTTTCTCTTCTCACGAAAATATTATCAGCGGTGAAGAAAAAAAATTCAGCGTTACTGTGCAACAACTTATTAAGGAAGTGGTGTAAATCAAATGTGGATGCTAAAAAAACCTCAAGAGGACTTTTAATAAATTTTGAAACCACAAAATTTTGTCAAAATGAATGACATCAAAACGTTAAGACTTTCCAATATGTTATACAACCATTTTCCATAATAATAATAATAAAAAAAGAGAGATGACGTCTTCTTGAAGAAAAATTAAATCTTAGGAAATTTTCATATCTCGTAATTTGTCATCTACAAACTTTGTTAGAAATCATTCTCATTTTACACAGAAAACTATTAAGTTGATATTCAGAATTTGCTTGGGTTCCTCACAATATTTATGTTGTCTTTTTAGACAAGATCTTTCTTCAATCTTTCGGAATTTCCATGGAGAATAATTGTGCCTCTTATTAGCAGACCTGTTTTTGCATTCTTTTGAAGCAGAATTTATTAAACAAAAATCTCTTGCTTTGGCCCATAATTTGACATTGAGATACATCGACGACGTCTTATCACCTAAAAGCTTTCATTTTGAATCTTCCTTTGATTTGATATATTCTACTGATCTTGAAACTTAAGAAACAACAGAGTTTACCATATTAGCAACTATTTTATATTTATATTTTATACTTCCCTTACTTATGCAGCAATATACCTTTATCACCTGCATACGGGGTTTATATCTCTCAGTTGAATCGATACGTTAGAGCATGCTGTACGTATGAACAATTTCTAAAACGAGGTAAATTAATTGAAAAACAAGTTGATGAAACAACAATATAACCAGTCTCGTTTAAAGTCGTCATTTCGTAAGTTCTGTGGTCGATACAATGACCTTGTCAACAAATGCAATTTATCATTAAGCCAAATGCTGACTGGCGTTTTTCATATTAATTGTTAGGCCATTATTTACACACTGAATTGTCGACGGATTTTTCCGTTATTTCCCGATCGTGACAAGGAGCACACGGCGGATGTGACCGGTGGGCAGGGGATGCTCACTCCTCCATGGCACCTGATCCCACCTCTGATGGTTTAGAGGTCCGTGTTTGCTATGCTCCAATATTTGTATTGTTTAATGGACTTTTGAGCTTGAATACTGTTCGTTATCTCCATATATTTCATATTTGTGTTTTACTGGAGAAAGACATTGATGGCAAACTTGCATCTTAAGTTTACTACAAAGGTGCTGATTTCAACTTTTTTTTATTGTCATTTTTTCTTAGGTATGTAGTAATATACCTCACCACCTGTATATGGTGCTTAAAACTCCCATTTGATTTCATATGGAATAGCATGCTCTACATATGAACATTTTCTAAACCAATGTAAGATACTGATAAATAAGTTTATCATACAAAGGTATCAATAATCTTGTTTTAGCTTAACATTTTACATATTTTATTGTCGATACAATGTCCTTGATTTTAAATATAACATTATGTTACTTGAATGTTGACTTTAACTTAAATATGTCTTGTAAATGGTGTGTATTGGATGAACATTATAAAAGTCTTTCATTTAAACTTAGCCTAGCCAAAAAAAAAAAAGAAATGACAAAAGTCATCAGAAAGCTTTGAATCGCCTACATGTATCACAAAACAAATAAATTACCTAGAGCATAAAAATGGTAATAATTTTTATGTTTTATTTTGATTGATTGATTGTTGATTAACGTCCCTCTCGAGAATTTTTCACTCATATGGAGACGCCACAACATGCCGTTGAAGGGCTACAAATTTTGACCTATGCTCGGCACTAAGGGCCATTGAGCAGTGAGGGATCTTTTTCGTGCCAGCACCTACTGCGACACGGGACCTCGGTTTCCACGGTCTCATCCGAAGGACCGGTCTCCACGTCCCGCAGTGGGATTCGAACCCGCGACTGAAAGATCAACTCCTTACACCGCGACTCTAGAGCAGACGCTCTAACCACTGCGCCACGCGGGGGACTTTTTTATGCTTTAAGATCAAGCTAATATTTATTTTATAAGTAAATTTAATCTAGGTTCCTTCTTTTGTCTTATACAAACACATTATGCTGCCTTGACATATAAATAGATCCTAGAAATATATACTAATTGACTCCTTAAATGTGACTATGTCATACTTACAACTCGTACTTGAATAAAATGATTATGATTATCAAGATAACGTGCTTTTATTCCTTATTGAAAAATTGTTCCTTACTTTTGAATGAGATGATTTAATTTCAGCGAGAATGCACTTCAAATATATATTCCCTTCTATAGTTCTAAAATGGTATTGATTTCAATTCATGAAGCGACTTTTACAGAAGCACAGGTTTCGCTTTTTAAATCAATAGATAAGACTTCAGAGCAATTACAGAACTCAATATCACTTACTTATGGACCATCGTTAAGCTGTTTATAATAATCTCGACAAAAAACTTCCAGCTAATAAAATGGATCTCGTTTTATTACAGATTTTTGTCTTGTATACTAGTTCGATCCTGGCAGATCAGTGTTCCCATGAACCAGAGTGCCATGTATTTAACTGGAAAGAATGGGCTTCATGTACTGGTGTCTGTGGCTCACAGTCACAGAGAAGAGAGCGCAACATGTGCTGTTCCATGTCTGTTAGTCCTCATACCATAGAAAACTGCCTGAAACACTGTAACCTGTCTCCTAATTTTAAATTAGATCAGTCTAAATCATGCAGAATATGTGAAAATGGCGGAACACTGAATATTTCATCTCTATCTTGCAAATGTGATCCATATCATAAGGGTGATTGTTGTCAAGGTAAGTAATTATACAGGTAATAATTTCTTATAATAAATTCTCTCCAAATATTAGATTCTTACATCTCACATTGCATGCAAACATATGATCAACACTGGGGACGTTAACATTGATTCCAAGATGAAAACCCAAATAACTACAAGGACCGCTTTACAATGTATTCATTACAGTTTAATTCTCTTTTAAACAAAATGTTTTTATCCATTTACAATTCATTTTGTTTTTCCCAACATGTCGAGGCTATTTCCATTTTCTAAAATCATTTTCATAATATATATTTTTCAAGATGTGAAGGTTTTCGCTGAAATTACATTAAATGTTTTATAAAAAAGAAGAAAAGGATCCGCTTCTTTTGATAATAAGATTTAAAGTACCCGGTATTAAATTACGGTGATTTTGGTTCTTTGACTGAATTTCTCCACTTTTTCAGACCTTGTGAAATGTCAAGATAACCCTTGTAAACACGGAATTTGTACCGATACTGCTTACACTTTTACCTGCCACTGTGACAGAGGATACACAGGATTAGTTTGTGATAAACGTAATTATTCGTATGGTGGTTTGATTACACTTTATTGGAAAAATTTATTTTCATTGCAAAATTCCTTTTGATGTAACATTACAAAGTTTCTAGACATTATATTCAAAAACAACTTTAAAAAGTAAAAGATGTATACTGACAAATTTCATGACTGTGATTTTTTTTTCATTTTTATGTAATTAGGAAAACTTTGCAGTCAAGGAATAGTGTGCAAAAATGGTGGAACTTGTGTTGATGGGTCGATTGGATTTAAATGTCACTGTAGTGATAGATATACGGGAGAGTTTTGTGAAAGAGGTAAGATAAATATCCCGGTATTTAATCAGGCCTCTATGTACCTTTAAAATTTAGGCGCCAATGGTTCCTAATCAAAAAAAAAATTTAGTCGCCATTGCAAATTTTTAGTCGCCAGGCAAATTTTTCTTAGGCGCCAATTTAAAAACTGATATTAGTTAATATATAGAGTATGCCCAATGCTAATTTTTAAATTTTTTTCTGTTCTTTATAAAAAAAAATGAAATATTTATTGTTCAGTAATTTGACGATCAGCAAGTCAATTTAAAATGGTCGCCAATTTGGTGACTTATAGAAAAAAATAGGCGCCAATCATATTTTCTGGCGATATGGCGACTAAATTAGTCGCCAATTAGAGTCCTGCAATGTTACATAATTTTTCCAAATGAGATTCAAGCCGCATTTAATCTTGAAGACACGACCCTAGAAAGAACCTATAATTATATTTCATATTAAAAAGTGAAGCTACATAAAGATCGAAAATTATTATGATTGTTACTAGTTACGTTTTTCTCATTTCTTTCATTTCATTGTTCACTTCATAGAAGAAGTAATATTGCACCTATCATCCAAAGGTTGTTTTCTATGCGCAAAGCAATAGAAAAGAGCATCTATGATCAATTCTTTCAATGAATGCTCATAAATTTTAGCACATTTGATTATTCTTAAAAACTCATATATATATATATATATATATATATATATATATATATATATATATATATATATATATATATATATATATATATATATATATATATATATATATATATATATATTCTTGAGAAAAGAAATATCATCTGGTATATTTGACAATTTTCATTCTTTTCACCAGAAGTAAGTTGGTATTCATTTTAATAAGTAAGATATATCAGAGAGCCTGTCTGAATTACATCCGTATGAAGCTATTATCCAGCATCTGTGAGTTTTAGTTTATAAAATAAAACATATTTTTCATTCATTTTCACGTAAGCAGCATCTAGCAGTGCCCCGGCCTATCCTTATGGTCTTGACGATTGAGTATATAAAAAAATGAAAGTTAAACAATGATTATATAGGAAAAACGTGGGATTCAGAGATGGGAATTTTGGGAAATTTATCGTTATTTATTTGGATGATAATCTAGTAATTCATTGACCTTGGATCATGCACCTCTAGAAATACAGGACTCCCTAGTACCATTGAAAGTATCTTATGACTCATGTGAAGAATATTGTGGTTAATACCTCTTCTTTAAGTTAACATTGAATGTTTATTTATTGCATTGCTAAAAATCGCGTAAGTCTTCACAGAAGAAGCAACAAGATTTTTTAAAACCTTATGCTCCCGTAAGAATTAAAGTACAAACTATTATCGTTTAACTCTTGTGCTCTCACTAAGTTTTAATTCCTTACATGGTATGATTTACATTATGACCCCTGGGTCGAGGCCTCTGCTGGTGCACTGTTTGTCCCCGGGGGTCTTTACAGCCAAGTAGCCATGTGCTTCGGTACTAGCTTGAAAATACCTATATATATTTAATTGCTGTGGTAAAATTAAGAGATTTTTTTTCAAAATTAAGGATTATCTTCCTCATGCATAGCTCTGATCCTTCGACGTATTTGGCATCAGTCTTTGGCACCTTTTCTCAGCTCTTCAAAGTCTTTTGAATTAAATATAACGGATATCCAACGTTTCGGCATGAGCATTACTGCAAAGACACAATTTGTAGAAATGCGCATCTGGTGCATCAAAATTTGTACCGTATATGATTTATGAGGGGTTATAAAAAATCGTTGACTGATGCGATTAATTGATACAATGTCATCTGTGCATACAAAATTTATAAGGATTATAAAACAACAAAAGTTCAAGGAATGTTGAAAATTGTAGCTTGATACGTTGATAATTTGCCAATTTTATTATAAAATAAAAAAGACATTATATGCTCACCGGGCGCTGTTGCTGTTTAGTTTCCAGAGGTTCGATAACGTCATTGTTTCTCAATGTCCGCTTCCTCACCCAGATTCCCTGAAGTTAAGTAAGAACTTAAACACGTCTTGTTTATATGACTTTACAACGTCATGAACAAGCAGTTTTCAATGCATATCATATTGTAAATGGATCTCTACATAAGGAAAGAATCTCACCTAATTATGCCAGCATGTTTTCGTTATTGAGCTCAATTCTACCACACGTGATCAACGTCACTTTTCGACGTGACTCACTTTTGACACGCTGACTACAAATCGAGATTAACTGTGCATCTTTCCCCGCTCTCTCTTTCTCTCTCTCTTAGAATCTTTTTGGCATTTAAAAACGAGTACTCTGGATACATTTTATTTCCCTGTAGCCTGTTTAAACACTTCCTAGGTCTAAACCGTTTTTTCGAGGGGCGAAACTTTATAGAATGTTGGAAAAAGAAACCCTCCCTCATTTTGACGTCATTTTCTAAGAACTTGCAGAATGCAATAAAAATTGCAAATTTTACGGAACAATTGTGTCATACCACATGATTGAATGAACGGAATCTTTGGATGTCAAATGCTCATATCAAAAGAGTTTTTCTCAGTTACACGCAGGGAAAAAAGTCATGTTTGAGGTTGCGCCGCCTGGACATACCATTGTTTAGAAAAACATTTACAATTTATTGAAAATGAAACTTATGATTTATGGCTTATTCTATAGATAGAAAATATGCTAACTAAATGTGTTAAAATTCATTGATGTACCTAAAGCGGCTTTAATTTTATGGTGCTTGTCCACGAACTTTTTGATAACCCCTCGTACATGGTAGCGTATTTTCTCAAACACTTCTTCTAATATCAGATTTGCTAGAATTCTATATCATGAACTATGATATATATATATATATATATATATATATATATATATATATATATATATATATATATATATATATATATATATATATATATATATATATATATATATATAAAGCAATACTTTAGTTGTTGTCGAAAAACTTATGGTGTATTTTTGATTGTTTGTAGTTATTGCATATAATATATTTCTAATTTTCAAACCTTTATAAAAAGAATATGATAATAAGAAACAAGGTTAAGAATTTCATGTTTGTGTCGTAAAGTCCCATTTCTAACCGCAATACTGACGATGAGTAAACGTATACAAATGGATTCACAATGAATCCATTCTCCGAAATAATAATAATTTTATAAAACTGAAAACATCAGGAAAACACCCTCTTAAGGTCATTTTCATTTTTTAATTTCTATGATTAGCTTTTAATTTATTTTGCATGACACTTAACAGGGAATAGAAGACAAGGATCCGCTTGTTTTGGTAATAAGATTCAAAGTACCTGGTATTAAAAAACAGTGACTTCGGTTCTTTGTCTGAATTTCTCCACTTTTTCAGACCTTGTGAAATGCCAAGATAACCCTTGTAAACACGGAATTTGTATCGACACTGCATCCACTTTTACCTGCCACTGCGAAAGACGATACACAGGATCAGTTTGTGATACACGTAATTATTCCTATAATGGTTTGACCGTTCAAGGTAGCTCAGTCGGTAGAGTGCTAGCTCCGTGACCGGGAGGTCGTGAGTTCGAATCTCTGCCGCGACTGACCTAAGTCGATAAAAAAAAAAAGGGTAGCAACTGCTCCTTTGCCATGCGCTCGGCACTTTAAAGTGAAAGTTGCGGGTCCTTCGGATGGTATCTCGTATCACGGCAGGCGTTGGCACGATAAAGATCCCTCGCTGCTCAATGGCCCTGAGTGCCGAGTAAAGGTCAAAATTTGAAGCCCTTCACCGGTATATGGTGACCTCTTTATATGAATGAAAAATTCTCGAATGGGACGTAAAACAATATACAATCAATTGTATAATGTTTTGAATGATTATATTTAATTCGAAAATATTTCTTTTCATTGCAAAAATTCCTTTGATGTAATATTATACAGCTTCTAGACATTATTTAAAAAAAACTTAAGTAAAAGATGTGTAGTGTATAATGACAAATTTTATAACTGTGTATTTTTTCAACTTTTATATAATTAGGAAAACTTTGCAGTCAAGGAATAGTGTGCAAAAATGGTGGAACTTGTGTTGATGTGTCGATTGGATTTAAATGTAACTGTAGTGATAGATACACGGGAGACTTTTGTGAAAGAGGTAAGATAAATATCCCGATAATCTTACATAATTTTTCCAAATTAGATTCAAGCAGCATTTAATCTTGAAGACACGACCCTAGAAAGAACCTATAATTATACATGTATTTCACATGAGAAAGTAAAGCCACATAAAGATCGAAAATTATTATTATTGTTGTTATCTTTATTATTATTATTATTATTATTATTATTTATGGTTAAAATTTTCTCATTTCTTTTATTTCATTGTTTACTTCATAGAAGATTTAATATTGCACTATCAACCGAAGTTTTTTTTTATTACGAGCAAATTAATAGAAAAGAGCATCTGTAAACAATTCTTTAAATGAGTGCTCATCAAATTTAGCACATTTGATCATTCTTAGGAAACTCTTTAATATATATGTTAACGTTCTTGGCAAAAGAAATATCATCTGGTATATTTGACAATTTTTATTCTTTTAACCAGAGGTAAGTTGGTATTCATTTTAATAGGTAGGATATATAATATAACCTATCTGAATTACATCCATATGAAGCTAATATTCAGCATCTGTGCGTTCTGCTTTATAAAATAAAGCATATTTTGCATTCAATGTCATGCAGGCAGCATCTAGCAGTGCTCCTGAATTATCCTTATGATCTTGACGATTGAGTATGAATGAAAGTGAATCAATGATTTTATAGGAAAAAACGTGGGATTCAGAGATGGGGGTTCTGGAAAATTTATCTTTTTTCATTTGGATGATAAACTAGTAATTCATTGACCTTGGACCATGCACCTCTAGAAATACAGGACTCCCTAGTACCATTGAAAGTATCTTATGACTCATGTGGAGAATATAGTGCTTAAGGACATAAGCTACGTAGTTTGAACTTTATTGT